GCCCATCAACACCGTTCACAGTAGCTTGACAAACAAAACAGCTTCTCACACGACTCGGCAACAGCCAGCAGCAGGCTACATCTTGGGCATACATAATATTATTATTTCAAAACTGAATTAAAAAAAATAAAAACTTTCATTTTCCAGAATTCATTAAAAAAATCCCCCTGTTTTGTTTTGAGTTCTGAGTCTAGGCGAAGCAGTAATTCTAATGCGACTCAGTTTGTTCGATGCGAACGGGGTAAATGGACGTTTATCGCAATTGTTTATATCCAAGAGCCAACCAAGCGACCGACCGACCGACCGACCACCACTCGAAAATACCAGCCGTAAGAATAGAAAGTGATAAAATAACTAGAATTGACAGAATTACTTACAGTGATGGCGAGGTAATCACCATGGCGGAGGGGGGATTGGCTGACGTGCCTTGTTTAACAAATAACTCCTCCGGTGACTTGATTTGCAATGGCAATTGACATTTTTAGAGTTTCCTTATTACAAAAGTCGTTCGAAGAGGTTGTTATGGCTGTTGTTGTTGTTATTTTTATTGTTGATTTGATTTAGCTTCTGTTTTGATTCGTAGACATTAGTCTATGGCCGCTGGAAGTGGTAGTGAAAACAAACGCGGGTGACGGATAAACGCCCCTTAATTGATTGTCTCGTTTTTTTGTTTTGTTTTTTTTTTTTTTTTTTTCATTCAATTGACATTGGCCACGGACTGGGCCAAGCGATCGATCGTCGATTTGTTACACTCCCAAGCTTTGTCACATTTCAATTTCAAACAACACCGGGGTGACGAGGATGCTACCTCTTATCGCTGCTGTAAGTTCCACTTGATCGAATTTGAACAAAACTTTGAAATCGAATGGAAAATTAGATTAGATGTGATTTTCAATTGATGATCCCCATTTCCAACATCAGCAACAACAACATCAGCACAAACATTGTTTGTCACTTGAAAATTGTGTTTGGTTGTTGTTTTTTTTTTTTTTTTGTTTTGTTTTATTGCAGTGTGGTATTTGTTTGTATTCTTGGCTTGGCTATTTTAGAACTCGGTGTGCGGTATTGGGAAAACAAATTGAATTTTTAGCAACAGTTTTGCAGTATTTGTCGGTGGTTACGGAACGATCCAAACAGCCAGCAACGGCCATAAGACGACATAATTCAAATCATTCGCGACGTGATTTTCAACGAGTTAACAACACAGAAAGCCGCCAAACCATTTAAACAAAAAATATTGAAACTCAGACTCATAAATTTGTAAACAATAAAATAAGTCCCGCAAGTGAATCTTAGCTAAAAGTGAACAAAAAAAAAAAAAAAGGAAAACAAAACCAATAAATAAAAATAGGAAAAAAGGCCATTAAATTAGTTGTGTGTGAATCATTGCAGATAAATCAAAACAAACAGCATCGTTGTGAGATTTTTACGACACTCTTAAAAAATATTGTGGATTCCCGTATTTTTTGAATATCATTATTTCCACTTGAAAAAGCAGCAGCAGCAAACAACGGCAAAATCAATAAACATGACCGAATTGGACGATTGGCAGACACTTGATTTGGACGCAAAATCCGATACGACAACAAAGCCAAATAACGAAACACCAGCTTCTGATGGTTTTGAAAATCCTGGATATCAGCCAGAGAAAAATGGGTAAGTTGTTGTTTACCACATACCCACCCCCTTCCAAACACATAGTTATGTAGTTATTTCAGGAAACATTTTGAAAAACTTAAAAAACAAAAGCTTTTATTTTGTAAGCAACATGTATCTGGTTGAGAAATGGAAACAAACTTGAACTTTTGTTGAAAGCTGTCATACTTTGTTTTTAGTGAAGCTTTTAAAGTTTGCAATGACCAAAAAATACTCTATATTCAAAATATCTTATAAATAATAATAATTATTAAATAATTTTTGAGGCTCTATATATATTAACATAAAGATTAGCATAAACAATTGTTCTTTCATGAACAATTTGGCATAAATCGTATACAAAACACGTCAATTGAAACAACTACTTTTTATGGGTTTAAAAGTTTAATTCCCTATTTATTAATAATTAAATCGATATCTATGTGAACCATGGTAAAATTAAGAAGGTAAAGCAAAGACATAGATGTGTAAAGATATGATAAGACAACGTCAAAATATGGCAACCCTGTGAAAATACCTTTGTTGCAAAGACCTAAAATGGTAAAGACCAAAGACCTAAAATGGTAAAGACAAAGACCAAAAATGGTAAAGACTAGACAAAATGCATTCTGAGCAAATGGTTTGTGGCTATACTACTTTGAATTACAGCATATGACAAAGGCATGTTAATATAAAAAACACAATTATAGGAAAGAATGACAAATAAAAGTTTGGATAATCCAAAATGTTGGTTTCAAAATTTTATTCCATATACCTTCCCAAATGATTGCATACTGTCTTAGCGTTTTAAATTGCTTAACATTGGTAACTATGTTGTATCATAACAACAGAGGTATTTTTCACAGGGTTGCCATATTTTACTCTGTCTTGTCCTATCTTTATTTTGTTGTTACCATGGTAGAAGAATACAGGTAGTCGCATCGACACAGCTGCTGGGACAATGAACTGTCAACCCAATTTTGGAATTGAAATTTTTGAATGAAAAATTATTCAAATTTGTAAAAATGTTTAAAAAATGCATATCATAACAACCTTCGACTGGAGTCGTGTAGGAAAACATATGCAAATCTACCTAATTTTGAAGCAACATTTAAAATTAAAAAATAAATCTTACGAACGATTTTTTTTAAATCCGGAATGGATTCTACATGGTAACCTTTATGAATGAAAGCAAAAAATGTCGGAAATAGCATCAAATTTTAGAATAAGTTTAGATTTGTTCGAATTGATCACCTTTGGCACGAATTATGGCCTTCGACAATGAAACCTTCACACGTTGCCCGAATATTGCTCTGCGGTATTTTGACCAATTCCCGGCGAAGCGCTTGCTCAAGGTGATCGACACTTATATTTTTTTAGTGCCAACCTTGCTTTCCAAAATACTCCAGACACAGTAGTCCAACGGATTGGTATCCGGAGGTTTTTTGGTGGCCATTGTGCGCTGGAAATGAAGTGAGGAACCTCACTTTGTAATCATTCTTGGGTGGCGCGTGCTGAGTGCGATGGTGCTGAGTCCTGTTGGAATGTCCAAGGTCTACGGCCAAAATGTTTGCGTGCCCAAGGCATTAATACAACCTCCAGAATATTTTCGCGATAATATTCGGCATTTATTCTGATGCCACGGGCGATTAATACGAGCACAACGAATGTTTTCTCATCGGAGAAAACCAAATTCGGCTTTTCACCACTTTCGGCCAAGCGAAGCAACTCTTTAGCTCTTTTGAGTCTATTTTCTGTTCTTTTTGTTGCGGTGTAAGTTCTTGCACTTTTTGTAATTTCAATGGCTTTGCCCCGTGGCTTAGAAATGACAGCAGACTGAAGTTGGTTGCAGTTGTTTCATTTCACTCTGTATTATCTGTGTAGAGAGTTCTATCCATGTAGAAGAATATAGGTAGACGTATTGACACAGCTGCTGGGACAATGAACTGTCAAATCAATTTTGGAATTGAAAATGTTGAATGAAAAATTATTAAAATTTGTAAAAATTGTTGAAAAGCGCGAATTCCTACGAATGACGTCGTATAAGAAAACATATAAAAATCTGCTTATATTTGAAAAAACATTTAAAATTTTTTGACATATCAATGTTGCGTTGATGCATCCATCTGTATTCTTTTACCATGGTTCTATCCTAATTTAACGTTTTGTAGATAGTGCAATTTTATTTGACCTAAAAATGAAGAAATTGAATCTAGAAAGGCTTAATGTAAATTCTAGTTTATTTTGAGCCATGTTTTAAGTAATTGAGCCATGATTTAAAAGTAATTTTACACTTACTTTATCGATTGTATTTCAACTATCAATTCCGTTGCTTATATGTCAAATAAAATCTTCGCACAAATCCAGTCAGGCATTTGACGTATACAAAATTCAATTGACAGTTAAAATTTACAGGATTTCTTATGCGTATACTTTTAAAATCCAAATCCTAAAATACATCCTAGTTTTTTTTACATATATTCTGAGAAGATTTTAATTATTAATTATTTTTATGATTGGAATGAAATTAAAAGTTTTAGCGCATTTTTTCCTACTTTATTTTCTATTTTAATCATTTATTCGCTGATAAGTTCGTTTTTACTATGTGATGCAAATTTAAATGTAACGGATAACCTATTATCAACGTTGCTGCATTTGGTACTATGTGAATAAGTGTTGATTTTTGTATGGCAAACCCGTATTATATATCATAAGTATTGTGATTTAAGTCACAATTTTATTATAAATGTACCACTTATAAATTATCGTAGTGCAATATTTAAAGGCCTCTCATGATTGATGAATACTATTTTTACTATTTCAAAATATACGTCATTAACCCACAAAAAGGTTTACTGTCACATTAAAGACGGCTTACATTGGTATAGTCTACTTTACGTTACGTGGTAGACTAACTACACTGCGACAGTAAATTAATACACTTTACTTGCAACCCTGTGTGTTGTCATGTTCTCGTTGTGGTGTGGCAACTCTAAAGTACTGTAAAAATAACTATTGGAAAAAGTGAAAATTATATTAAGTATTATGAATGAAAATATCTTGAAATTTTTTTAATATTATATTAAATATATAATTTAATATGTTAAAATGTGAAAACAAGTTTAAGTTATGTTAAAACGCTGTAAATCATGCAAAATAATAAAGACGATTGTAACGGTCTTGGATTGTTTTGTTGTTGAGTTATTCCCTTGTGTTTGTATTTTCGTTAGAGCAAGACAGGTGATACCACAGCTGCTCTCAATTTTATTCGGGCTATCAATTGACTTTACAATAATGGAATATTAATAGAATAAGAAGAAGCACCGGACACCATCTTACTTTGCATATCATGGAATACATGTTCATATGTTCACTCAGAACCAATCAATCAACCAACCAATAAAGTCGGAACAAGGAAAAATATTTTAATATATTCATAGAATATTTGGCGTTCAGTTATTAACCAAAAGAAATAAAAAGAACATCCCCAAGAAAATAGAGAAAACAGAGGAAACTCTTAATTAACACAACGAAGTCCAACTAAATAGAACATAAACAAAGCTCAATTAAATTAAAACGAATTACGACGTGTTTTCTGCTGGTGTTAAGAGAAAAGAAAAAAAGTTGAAGCAAGAAATTATTGATTTTTCAACGAATAAGAATTTTAATAACTTTTCTTATAAATTGTGTAATTTGTGAGTTGTGTGTGATCCAGCCGAAAGTGGAGCATTACATTGCCTAGGAAAAACCTTGGGGAAGAAAATAAATAGTGAAGTGTGACATAAAAATAGTATTGACTGCTACCCCCTCCAATAACGCAACGACCGACCTCATTCTCTGTTGCAAATAATCAAAAGCAGCTAATTTCAGGTAAGTCTTCTTTTGGAAGAAATCAAAATTATTTTCTGGTGTGGTTCATTATACATAAGAGGGACAACTTATTCGTCTATGTGTTAGTAAATAAGACAAATTATTAAAACAAATAATATTAAAAAAAGCAAATAGCAGCTGATTTTTATGTACACACACAGACTCACATCTACATTGTCAATCATCGAATCACCGTCATTAACGTCATTGTCAAAAGCACTTATCTTAACTCCATAATGAATAAAAAAATAATAATCAAAAATTTAACCCATTTCTAATTGGCCCGAAACTCTCTCTTTTTTTGCATTTGACCAAATTTATGTAAAACTCTCATGTATCTCTTACATCTCCCATTTGGTGTTGTAATCAGCAAATTTCGTTCTCCATTTTAACACCCACCCTCCTTCTTTGCTCACAGCTAAAGACTTGGCCCCACAAAAAACACCTCACCAGCATATTTTGTGTTGACATGATGATGATGATGGTCTCCCCCGTGTAAATGGTTTACAAATAACTTCTCTTTTGGGTGTTATTTTGTTGTAAAAGAGAGAGAGAGAAGGAATTCCTGCCATACAAATGAATTTGCAAATGTTGTTTTGCACGAAGTTTATGGAAATGTTTTTTTTTTCTGTTCGTTAAGTAATCCATCCATCAAATCACAACCCAAAAAATCTTGAGTTTGTTGTTGTTTTTTTAAAAAAAAATATACTTCCTTCCGTTTGTGATTCTTAATTTTTACTTTCAGAATATTTTTTTTATTCGGTTTGTTTCCTCAGTCCACTTTTTATAGTTCCGTTATTTGTTTTAGTCAACTTCCTTCCAGTTTTTTTGTTTGGTGTAGTTTTTGTTAAATTCCAACAGTTGGAGAATAAAACCATATTTGGCATTAAGCCTAAAACGTCGATACAAATTACACCAGCGTTGACGACGACGACGTGCCTCCAAATCATCAATTTGTTTTTGTCGTCGTTGTTGTTAATATCGCGTTTTGTTTTATTAGAATATTCTTCAATTTTTTCCCCCGTCGAACATTAGTTTTATTTTCGTTTCTTCTTTTTTTATGTGTCATGTCATGCCGTGTGCCTGCCTTTACTTTGCTGCACATGCTGGCTGTGAGTTTTAGTTTTTCGTCGCCAAGTAGAGTTCTTTTGCCCCAAGTCTGCTGCTTAGTGGTCTGACGTAATTTCCACTTTCAAGGGGGACAAGGTGGGGATTTGTGCGGTCTTGTGGATTCCCACACCTAGTCAACAGCAAAGTTATGTTCGATCAATTGTAATTTATTTGCAGTGACGTTGTGCATTTTTAATCGTTTCAAGACGTTGATTTTTTTTCTTGGCTTGATTTCAATTTTCCGACTCATTCTAAACAGTTTTTTAATGAGATGTGTCTAAAATATTCTGTCGAATATTTTAATTAGAGTTAAGACACATTATTCCGGAAGAAATTCACTGTTATATGTGATTAGGTCCATACTTACATACTTACAAAATGCCACTTTAAAAAAGGATTCAAACCATTTTAAACATAAAGGATGAATTCCAATATTTTTTACACTTGAATTAGATTTAGAAAATATTTCGAAAATGAATTTATATTGTCTATAACTCCTATATAAGTTATATCAAATATGTACCAACGGGATCCAAATGCCTTATTTACTTCAAATCGATTGGAACTGCGATCCAAATAGTAATAGGAACAAATGGTAGACAGCATTGTTTCATTCTTAGCTAATTAATGGAACAGCTCTCGTTCTAATACCCTCCACCAAAGGAGTGTATATTAAGTTTGTCATTCCGTTTGCAACACCTGGAAATATACATTTTAGACCCCACAAAGTTTATATATTCTTGGTCAGCATAAAATTCTATGTCGACTTAGCGATGTCCGTCCGTCTGTCCATCTGTGAAATTCACTCTAGCTGACGAACTAAATGAAGTACGTTGATAAAATTTTACTCAAATGTATATTACGTCTACAGGACGTTTGGTATTGAAAATAAGCCATGTAGGTCCACGTTTTGGTATAGCCCCGATATAATGTTACCCCCCTATTTTCGGTATTTTGGTGATTTAAGCGACATTTTTCACGGGAATTGTTTCAAATTTGGTATTTGAAGTTCATAATGAATATTACAGCCTGTGACAGAAAATTGTCTATGCAGGTCCACGTCTTCGTATAGCCTCCATATAATGATACCTCCTGATATTCGATATTTTGATGATTTTAGCGACATTATTTACCTGAATAGTTTAAAATTTGGTATTTAAAGTTCGTAGTGTATACTACAGCCGAAGACAGGAAATTGTCTGTGCAGGTCCACGTCTTCGTATAGCCCCCGTACAATGGTATCTTCCGATATTCGGTTTTTTCATGATTTAAGCGACATTTTTCCGGAATTGTTTCAAATTTGGGATTTGAAGTTCGTAATGGGTACTACAGCCTATGACAGAAAATTGTCTGTGCAGGTCAACGCCTTTGTATAACCTCATATAACGGTATCTCCCGTTATTCTGTACTTTGTATTAACCGAATCAGCATTAATCTGACATTTTAGTTTTCAATAACTAGAATTTAAAATAGGCCCTTTTGTGGATATAGGCATACTAAATTGCAACGGCTTCAAGATGAAGGCACCGGGACTGGAGTATTCTGCCCTAACCCAATGATTAAACACGCACATAATCTTAATGACATTTTCAGTGATTTTTCAGGCGGAGATACTTGCAATAAAGGTGGCAGCCGAAACGGTAAAAGAACTATGCCATAGCTTAACAGGACAGATTACAATATATGTCGTTAGTCAGGCGAAACTAAAAGCTATCAAGTCAGGTGCCTTTAAATCGAGAGTCACTCTTGACTGCAAGAAAGCTCTCATTGGAATACGCGATTGCATTAAGCATTATTGGGTTCCAGGACAAAGATATCTAGTGGGAAATGAGGTGGCAGCCGAAACTTTAAAAGAACTTTGCCATAGCATAAAAAGACCAATTACAATATATGTCGATGTTCAGGCGGCCCTAAAAAAGTCAGTTGCCTTTAAATCGAGAGCCACTCTTGACTGCAAGAAAGCTCTCATTGGAATACGTGATTCAATTAAGCTTTATTGGGTTCCAGAACCTAGGAACTTTGAGGATGTTCCCAGTCGATTGATCTACCGATTGATGAGATTGTTAAAGCCCCTATAAGATATTATGTCAGCTGCTCAAAAAAATCTCTCAAAGAAGAAGATGGCAATAAGCACCGGTTTTGGGTATCTAAAGTCATCTTGCCCGTAATCTCGAGAAGAAGAACAAGTTCCCATTTAACACTTGTTAGGTCTGAACTAAGTATAGCGGTTGGCATACTGACTAGTCACTGCATTAGCAGATATCTCCCCTCAAGATGGGATAACAGTGTTCTTGACTACTGTAATCTATGCGAATATGAAAAAGATCTAGAGACGATTGAACACCCACTTTGTAGATGTTCCTTTGTTATTCAACAAGATCCGGGAGGAGGAAGATTGGAACTCTTCGTTCTTTTCAAATATAGATCCTATCATAATTTGCAAGTTTGGATAACATAATTTGCGTAAAAGATAACAGCCGCTTAGCAGAAAATAGAATATGCTTGTTCACCATTTAGTAAAGCACCCAAATAATGGTGTCGCACATTTTTTTTCCTATTTTGTAGCTCGGATGTAGCAAGAAATGTTTTTCGAAACCAATTTTGAGAGGAGGAGGGTTTGGCGCATTATAAGTTAACGACTGGTGAAATACACTTGGACTAGTTTCTCAGTAATACAGGCTTCAATGTTGTTATTTCGGTATAAACTAAGCTTTTAATAAACTTTTTGAATAAATTGTATTGAAATAGCAAATTTTTTTATATTCATGATTGGACTGACCATTGTATTTCCAATATTCCTTGGCAGACTTTTCTTATATTCTCAGTTTCCATTCAAATCTCGTTTTTTATAAACTTCTCATTAAATATAACATTTAAATAAATTTTATTTTTGCACAACTCAAGAGTACCCCCTCTGGCAGTGTATTTTCGCCTGCAAAGAAAATATTGTGGGTGCTTTGTATTTTTAAATATTTATAATTGTTGATATCTTTGGGCAATTGGAATTCATATGTGTACAACTTAAACATACATTAAAAAGGGAAATATTTTGCGGTTGCTTGTTTCATCATTTTCCTTTCGAAGCCAATATTTAAACAAGTTCGCCATGGTTAGCTACATGGATGGTGGCTATGTAAAAGGCCACCAAACAAATATCAACATAGGTTCATCTGCTGCATCGTCCGCATCGCCCTGACATTACCTTGGACTTTTGCATCAGTGATAACATTGAATTGCTCGCCATCTTTCTTCTCATCGATGGTCATCGGGCCAACACCAACCTCATCATAATCACCATGAATGACAGCAATAATTCACAGATATTTATTTTAATGGCTCTTACGGCAATGGCTTCATATGATGATGAAAAACGAAAATCTACTTCAATGTGAAGTTCTTTCTTGAAGTGGCAATTTTTGCGCAAATTACCGATCATAAATCAAAAACTCTTCATTATAATAATTTTTCATTTGAAGTTAGTAGCTTCATTAACCTGTAATGGCCGTACATCATGTATCGACTGTAAGAATAGATTTGTAACATAAAAAAACGTGCGGTTTACATTATTATAATTGTTATACAATAATTACTATTGTTACGTTTTCAAGTACAATTGAACAAGAAGAAGAAGAACATCGACAAAAATGTACTGCATAGTATCTTCAAAATCGGTACTAGGCACATATTTCGCTTTTCACTGCTTGGCGCGCGCTTAATGACAACTTTTTTTTTTTGCTTGCGTGTTTGATAATGACTTGAGTTTTCGTTTTTTCCCATTGATTTTGTTTTTTTTTCTGAGATTTGTTTTTGCAGCTGCTTTTTATCAGGAGGAAATCAAAATGTGAAGGGAAAGATTTGGCATTATTCTGCGGTTTTGCAAATAGAGTTTT